TGCCTCTCACTCTTTTCACTTAAGAACAAGCTCGTTCAATTTTCCTCAGAATGCCAAGAACTCTCTTTGCACTTTACCTTTATAAACTGGTACCTGGCAGTGCTCATAACACACTTAGCTGAACAAGAAAAAGGTGGACACACTACAATCTTAACTAGAAACWTTTTTAAGGACATGCTAGTGATGTCAAATTGCCTGAATACCACCAAAGCAGCAAAACAAAATGAAGTACTGAACACTGTTGATACTGTTGGCTTTTATAAATTGATCATTTTTAGCAATAAATGTGTCGTAACTATTTTTTTTCTTGATTTATATAAAACAAAACTATCATTTGGTGGTTCAAAATCCCCATAAAAGGACTGGAGTAATCTCTCTTTTATACACAGTTGGAAGGAAAAAAAAAAGGCACTTGACTTTTGTGCCTATTTTCTATTTCATTTGAATACAAATACTTTTCTTGCTACAGTCTAATACACACACACCTCTGTTCTCCGCATTGCAAGTCATGGCTCATCTGTGATTAGACCACAGCTCCCAGCGTGCCTTGAAACACTTGGGAACCCCCAGGAGGAGCTGGAGGAAGTTAAGGGTGTCTGTGTGCTTTTCCCCACTGTGTTGTCATGGTGAAGCAGCAAGTTAATGGATGGATAGAAATGTGTTCATTAGAATCTGACATTTTCACCAGGTWGGTTCTTGAAAGCACTGACTAATATGAAGACCAATTTGTGGGGGAAAAAATGCCAATGGGCTTCAAGACAGATTTAGACCTTAAGTCAGTTTTCAAACATGCGTCACTCATCAACATTTCTAAGCCTAGAGGGGTGTGCTGGCATATTTGGAAAAAATAAAATATGTAAATCACAGCCCATCAAACCTCCCTTTATGGTGCAAWGGTCATAGTTTGTTTAGAAATGGTCATGACAGCCTTTTATTTTGTGTACGTCTGCATATTATTTGCAAAGTTTGGAAGAGTAATCAGTGGAAGAGCATCTATCTGATAAACATTTGTATTTAAACCAATTCAAAATGCCCACCACAGCTAACCAAACTAGCTAAGTCAGTTACCAGTTTTACAAATATTGATAAAATGAGTTATCCCCAACACACTGTCCAAGTACTACAACTTTTAGTTTTATGTTAGTCTTTATCAATTTGGATATATTTTTTACTGTGGAAACAAACTATAAAATCAACCCTCCTTAGTGAACTGATTATAATTGTGTGTATTTCAAAAAGACTGTATACTCTTTAATTTAAGATAAAAAACACACACTGAACGTCATTCTTTTCATAAATGCTACACTGAAAGGCTTCAGAAGGTTGTTTTTTTTGTCACACATTTGCATGCATTTTCATTTTGAGCATGAGGGCGAACAATTCAAAACCTTGGATGGAAAACTTGACTATGCTGCTGCTTACAGACAAGATTTGATAGAAGTTGTCCCTCAGGATTTCTTTTAAAGCTAGCAGACAAAAGGAATATCTGCTACAATAAATGCTCTTGTGATTAAAAGAGAAAGCGCTGGGTCTGTAGGGCAGCAATATTTGTATAAATACTGCTTTTAGCTTCTGTAGGTTTTTCAGTTTTGGACTGTCATGCTGTTTGGTTCAACCAGTAATTTAGCCCACACAAAAATATCTCCTACTGATGTTTGTAAAAACATTAATTATTGCCAGAGAACCAATTATAATGGCTTATGTAATTATTGTTTTGGTAATCTTTTGACTCATCTGGCAGCACAAATCTGCATGGGCAGATACAAGATTCTCACAATATCTCCAACAAAATAACATGTTTTTGATTATACAAAAGAAAATTTACCACATGGTTTAGCTGATTGTATGCTGTATACAGTATAAAAGCCTAATAATATTGCTACTATTATCCTGATGAGCACAATGGGGGCTACATTAGCTTGATGGTCAGTGCCAACAGTCTTTCATTCCTGAGGCTGCAGGTTTGAGCCCAGTTTGCATCAGGAAGAGCATCCAGTGTAAAATAATCACCTAATCTCAATGAGAGTTCACTCACTATGGTGACACCAAAAGAAGGGAGAAGCTGACACAACAACATACTAAGTGATATCATTATTTATACTTTTAGCTATACTTTACTGCAACCCCAGTTCACAAATGTGTGATATTAGGTATAAAATGTAAATAAAAGCAGAATAAATGATTTGTAAACATCACAGGTGCACATTTTAGTCACATTGGAACATAGTAATCACACCAAAATTTTCATCTAAGAAACATTTCTTTTCTCTGGGGATGGGGGTAGGGGGTGGGGTATTTTTGAATGTAATGGCAGCAACATGTTTAAAAAATTGAGACAGGGGTATTTTTCCCACTGTGAAGCATCCTCTTGTCTCTTAACAAAAGTCTGTTACAGAAGGAGACCAGCTGCTGAAATATTTGGGAGGAATGTAATCCCATTCTTTTTTTAATGTAGGATGTTCACTCAACAGTCTGGGGACTTCTTTGCCTTATTTTACATTTTATGATGTGTCAAATGTTTTCAGTGGGTGAGAGGACTGGACAGCATATGTTGCCATGAACATAAATATACTTTTCTACTTGATGTTCTGAAAAATACATTTTTTTGTGCAACATACATTTTGAAAGGCATATTCTTTCCATGTACGGTGCAACTATTTTATGTTTTTATACTGCTTAAAAGAATAGCATCCTCAGATAAATTCATATGCGGGACAATCAGCACTTTTCCAAAATTAGGCAGGTCACAAC